GGCGTCGTTGTCGTCGCCGTCGCCGTCGTTGGCGTGGTCGTCGTTGACGGCGACGGCGACGGCCCCGCCGCCCAGATCGACGAGTCCGCCCAGCGCTTCGGGGGCCCCGCTGGCCTCCGCAGCAGGCCCGTGTACGGCGCGGGGCCCGGCAGCGACGACGACGCTCTGCTGTCGTCGTCCCTCGTCTCGTCTTCAGTCCGCCTTCGCCGCAGGACGAAGTCGAAAAGGGAGAAAGGCCCACGAGATCGCCCAAGAGACCGTTTTTCCCTACCTAGGCTCTGCCTAGAGGGTTCTTACTCTCTTTCTTAAAGGGGCCGGGCAGTGCACTCCGCCCCGGGCGGTTCCCCCACTATCCGCCCCGGGGTTCCCCCAGTTACGTCCCCTTAGCTTAGCGTTGCTTATCTCATCTTAGCTTAGCTTATTTCATCTTAGCTTAGCGTACCTTCATCTTAGCTTCGCTGAGCTTTAGTATATCAGAGCACTGCATAGCATAGCATAGCATGGCATAGCGCAGCACAGCATGTTATAGTATAGCCCAGCATAGCAAAGCATAGCGCAGCATAGCATAGCATAGTATAGCATAGCATAGCGCAGCACAGCACAGCATAGCACAGCGCAGCATAGCACAGCATAGCAGAGCAGCAAAGCAAAGGCAAAGCAACAGCAGCGACAGCAAAGCAAAGCACAAGCAACGCAAAGCAAAGCAAAGCAAAAGCAAAGCAAAGGAAAGGCAAAACAAAACAAATGTGCGACAGATGCCGAGCTAGCCTCGATGGCCGGACCGGAGCCCCCGCAAGCAGTGCCTTCCGTAACCATTTCGGCTCAAGTCCGGAGGCCTGCCACACAGCCGCCCACTGCTATAGCATAGCATAGCATAGCATAGCATAGCATAGCATAGCATAGCATAGCATAGCATAGCAACTAATGCTGCTTTCCTAGGGGCTCCAACTTCTAGGTAGGGTCGCACTGGGGTAATTTTGTGAATCGGCAATAACCCAGGTTATCCTGAGGGGGGGGGCGGGGAGGGGCCCGGCCGATAACCTAACCCTCGCGCTGTGGGCAGCCCTGCAACTGCCCGCGCGCCCCCCCACGCGGACCTGCACAACCGGCAAGGTTAGGCTATCCGTGGGGGGGGGGCAGGGGGGGGCAGGCCCGATCACCCGGGTGATCGCCCGACCCGAAACAAAAAAGGGAGGAGGAGGAGGAGGAGGAGGAGGAGGAGGAGGAGAAGGGAAGTCCGTTGGGGCCCACCCCTGGGGCTCGCGCTCGCGCGGGCCCCCGCGGGGCGATGCGGGCCCGCGCGGGCCAAGACTCCTCCACGCGGGGAGAGGCCGCGTGCCGCGGGCTCGTGCTGCGTCGGCTCCAGCTCTTTTTGTGCTTGGCTCCTGACACCGCGGGGATCGCTCAACCTCCTCGTCCTCCCCCTCCACCTCCTCCTCCTCTCTTCCTCCTCGTCTCCCTCCTCTCCTCCGTTTCAGAAACGTCCGATCGTTGAACATCGACCGATTCTGGGTAGCAGGCGGCGTTCAACGTTGCACGCCGGCGGCGGGGTCGCCCTCAGTCTGCACGACGCGAAACTACCGTAGTTTTTGGCTTCCCGCCATGAGAGGCCTCCTCCCAGCTGGGATTCGAGTAGATGGGGTCGGAGGATCGCGCCGCATCGCCGATGCATCGTCGATGCACGGGCGACGTTGGCGGTGCATGCATCAGCGATGTGGCGCGATCCTTCGACCCCGCGTACTCGGACCGATCTAGGAGGCCTAGAGCTATGATCCGCCTCGCGGTCCGTCGTTAAGAGACTCGGGATGAAAGAGCGCCGGTCCTGGGGAAGGGGTCCAAACCTCCGAGGGTGCAAGTTTCGAGAAGGCCGCGCGGGGTCAGGAGGCAACTCCTGGGAGTTCTCTGTGGGGACGATCGAAAGCTACTAAGCCCGATTGTGGAGCCATCAAGCCGATTTGAGCCTGAGTAGGCCCAAGATTGGGCCCCATTGGTTGGAGTCAGGGATGTTGAGCCAGATCTGAAGGAGGACGGTTTTAGGTCACGGGGTTACCAGCGCCGACGCTGAATTCAACGCCCTGGGAGTTGCAATCTACGTCAATGGGGGAGCGGGAAACGGGAGCGAGGCTGAGGAAGAGAGGACTCCCCAGCACCAGGGAGGGGAAAAGAGGTTGGGAGAAGGCAGAGCGAGGAGAGATGCACGGCGAGAGAGAGAGAGAGAGGGAAAGAGAGCGAGAGATGAGAGACAGGGAGAGAGAATGGGTAGGCAATACAATCCTCAAACAACAAAGAAATCCTGAATACGGATAACAGTCCGCAAACCAAACGGGTAAACACGGAACGATTGAAGATTAGCGGTCAACGAACGCGAGTACCCATAGAGCAATAAACATAACGATAAGACGATCGGGAACCCACTGACGACTGATGACAGCTCCAAAGACCCAGCCCCTAGTGTAATGGGAATGGCATGCCAAGCTTCACGCATGACTGCAGTGTCGAACAATGCTAGGGTCTCAGCAGAGTCGCCAGCAGATGCAACTTCTTTGCTCGACACGATTGTACATGAACGGTGTGGGAGAGAACTATCAATAGCAGGCGGCGAGTTGCAAGTCTCGGCGGTGGACAAACCTCCCTTTAGTAAACCTCCCCTTAATGAAAACGGCCTGGGACCGAAACCGACGCACCTGGACCCGCAAAAATTACGGCCGCGAAGCCCTCTCGCGAACCGAAAACGGCCAATTCCTTAATCGACGTGTCAGCTTAGGAGGTCTGCCCACCCCCGAAAGTCACAATACTTGACGTGGCTGTCTGCAGAACAGTTGCCTCTACGCGTCCACATCCGGTGGTGGCTGCCAGGCGCGGTCGCACGCACTGATTATGACAGTCGCGTGGCACGGCAAGGACAACCGACACTGCGGAAGAAAGACAGCCCGAGGAGGCTGTCATAGACGCGAGTGGTCTGATAATGCGGGATGACGATAAATAAAATTATCCCAGCGCGACCCTACCTAGGAGTTGGAGCATTAAGGAAAGCAACATCTACGTCGGCACCGACAGCTACAAGTACATTTGCACCTGCATCTACATCTAAATCAACATCCACAGCGAGACTCACATCTATATCTACATCTACACCTACATCTAAACCTACATCTACATCTACATCTACATCTACATATTCATCTACATCTACATATACACCTACATCCACATCTACACATACACCTACATCTACATGCTATGATACGACGATGCTACATTTACACCTACATCCGCATCTACACCTACATCCACATCTACACCTACTTATGCATCTGCATGCTATGATATGCTATGCTGTGCTATGCTATGATATGCTATGTTATGATATGCTGCGCTATGATATGCTATGCTATGCTGCGCTATGCTAGGATATGCTATACTTTGCTGCGCTATGCTATGCTGCGCTATGCTATGCTAGGATATGGTATGCTATGCTATGATATGATGCGCGGTGCTATGCTAAGCTAAGCTATGCTATGTTATGCTATGCCATGCTGCGCTATGCAATGCTAGGCTATGCTATGTTGTGTTATGCTGCGCTATGCTATGCACTCCTATGTTACGATATGCTATGCTAAGCTATGCCATGCTATGCTAATGCTGCGCTGCGCTAAGCTGAGCTAAGCTGAGCTAAGCAACGCTAAGCTAGGCTAGGATACGCTAAGCTAAGCTAAGCTAAGCTAAGCTAGGCTAAGCTAAGCTAACCTTAGCTAAGCTAAGCTAAATTAAGCTAGGCTAAGCTAAGATGAGATAAGCAACGCTAAGCTAAGGGGACGCACCTGGGGGAACCGCGGGGCGGATGCCGGGGGAACCGCCCGGGGCGGTATCCACTGCCCAGCCCTTTAAGCATGTAGAGTAAGAACCCTTCTAGGCAGAGCCTAGGTAGGGACAAAATTTGGAGAGAACGATTAAAAACATAGTTTTCTGCTGTTTCTGCACAAGTTTCTCACTGGAGGAGGGCGATTTGAAAAAATAGTTTTCCAGCCTGCGGCCGGTTTTCTCGAATCGTCATCCCGGGCGCCGCCGCGTGAACACGACCCCCGGTCATTTATGAATCGTCATCCTCCATTATATCAGGTTGGTGGCAAAACGATAGAGCCACATTCTAGCCACACACAACAGCCACCACGCACCCACGCCTCCCATGGTGGCTGCTGGGTGCTGGTGCAAGCGCTGTATGGGTGCCTGTGCGTTGCGAGGCGATCATACGTAGAGCCTGCTGGGAATCGAATGCCAAGAACAAGCTGATCGTTTGCAACAGGGGGTAGGCCTGTCTTCAGGCTGCCCTCTTGCGCACCCTGCTACTCATCTGCATCAGTGGTCCTGCTATACTCAGCTTTGCCGAAAACAACACAATACGCGGACGAAACACATTCACGTTACAATCAGCTGCTCTACGTGGAGGCGTCTGGGCAACGGGCACCGACGGCTATATCCTCGTCGTTCAGATCCTCTTCCTGATCTCTCCAATGTTATTCTCGTCATCTGCATCCCCACTGTTCGTTTTACCTGTCTTTTCATGCTCCTTCGTCGTCCAAGTCTCCCTGATGTTTCGCCCCATCTTCCCTCCCTCCTCGATCCTTCCACTCGCCCCCTCCATCCCTTCAGCATATTCCTGCGGCTTCCCGCATCGTCCCTCCCCCACCCACCCTGCTTATCCGTCCTCCGCCTGTCGCAATTCCCTCGTCTCCTCCTCCTCCTCCTCCTCCTCCTCCTCCTCCTCCTGCTTCTTCCTCCCCCTCAACCATCCCTGCCAATGCCCCCTGATTTCGCGACGCAAAGCGCCGATTCTACACGACAAGGGGACCCGCCGCTAATGCACGCGCCTTGATCGGTGCCGGCGCTGCCTCGAGTGCTCCCTCCTCCGCTATCTTCCTCCTCCCCGTCCCCATTGTTCCCCATCCCCCTCCTCCCCCTCCGCCGTCCTCGGCCCTCCTCCTCATGCTTGGCGCCCCTGCCAGAGGATAAATCGCATGGGCTCGCTGCACAGGAACATGGTGAAGAACCTGCAGGCTCGACCGAAACGTCAGAATCGAGGGGGCGGAAGGAAGGCAATTTGAAAAGGGAAGCACAGGAGCAACGAGGGGAGGGGCGGGAGAGGAGACGAGAGGGGATGAGGTTCCTGGTCGTGCGTTCTATGCGAGCGCTCCTAGAGTGTTTTGCTATCTGCACGGGTTGACTGCCTGCTGATGGGCTGCTGGGTACATTATTTATGTGCGACTTGCTAATGTACTGACTAATTGAGACTACCGGTTGGTGAGGTACGATGCGGAACTTTACCTTTTTAGATTTGAGAGTAGGAAGCGCAGTTAACAGAAAATGGTGTTCTTCTCGTGCGCCTGCGCCTTTCTGTTGATGGCACCCTGGACGAAAGGACTTGGTATTGACCAGTGATACAAGTGTAGCGGGGCTGTGTCAAACCACATTAAATGCATCACCTGGTCTCACAACCTGGCCCTGCCACGGTTTCACTTACAAGTGCTGATGCTTCGCGCTGGTCAACTCACTCACCTCCAGAGTTCCAACATAACATGCTTCATTACTCAACACTATGTGGGACACTCGAGATGGACATCAGGAGCGTTGCTTCCGAAATGGTGCCAAGCGTGGGGCGACGAAGGCTCTGGGCTCGACGGATCAGCCGACTCTCACTGTACGCAGCGAAGACCGTGTACATTGGCCTTCATCAACGCCGTGAACGAGGATCATAAGGAAACCAGATGACGACTATGACCAGAAGTGAACGCGAAACGCAAGTGCCGATCTTGGTAATCGTCCATCATGGCTATCTTTCATTTCGTGGATAATCCTTGCAAATCGGCGACGGCCGGCATGGCCCATGACCAGAATCAGCAACGACGCGTTCCCACAACACACACCTAGGATTTCGAAGGTCCGCGCGGATTCCTTGATGGACCCCTCCCTGGCGTGCGGATCGCGCCAGGGGCAGCGCCAGAGGCGCCGCCAGGGGGACCCAGCGCCAATCCAAGAAATCCGCGCGTAGCGCCCTGTTCGACCCTCGGTCGTGGCCATCCTGTATCTGCTGTCGCGGGGAGGCAGAATGGCCCAATGTCGAATCGGGAAATAGTCGGCAATAAAAACACGTCGAATCGGCAGGAATCGACAGGCAGACCAGAAGGCATCGCAATCGACGCCCTGCCGCCCGCGCCGGGGCCTGCGCAAGGAAACCCAATCCACGTGTCCTCTGTCTTGCGCGACGTCGGGCGGGAATCCAGCGCGCGACGCAAGGTTGAAGCAGATGTCCGTAACGAGGTAATCGAGCACGTTTGACGCCCCAGCGCGGCCCCTGCCAGAGGGACTTGGGGGTGGCGAGCTTTTTCGACCTGCGGCGCCAGTGTCGTGCTGACGTCCCCGATCGTAGCGCGTGGTACCGCACCGAAGCTAGTTGGGTGGGTCCATTGGGCTCTCCCATATGCCAGTACCTCCGAGGTGTATAGTCATGTAGGCATGACGGTGTGCAGACTGTAGTCGGTCGGGAACTGGTCCTGTCCTTCCCGGAGGCATGGGCTTGGCATGCGCAGAAGGGGCTCTGGGACTTGCCCCGCGCGTTTCTGCGAAGAAGCGGCAGACTCCGTCCTGGAGCGTCTTGGCGTCCCTGGTGGTCCACCCGTCCGTGCCCCGCCGGCCCTGGCGGCGGGTCCAGTCAGAATGAAGTGGACCAGGGCCTCGCCCGTCAGGACGAAAGGCTGGGCGGGTGCTGGCCCTGGGAATTCATGGTGGCACTCCGCTTTGAAATCTGGGAACTTCCCACGTTGGGGCGGCTTCGTCCAGGCGGGGCCCTGTGTTTCGGCACCTGCCCAAGAGAAGCCTCCGCGCGTCATGAGTTTGATCGCGGCTCTGGTTTCAGCCAGGACTGAGCTTCGGCCGACTCGCATCTGCGCTGCGCTCTCGGCATCGCTCTCGTTGTCCGTGACTGGGTCGCTCGGCGCGGTAGAAAAAGCCTCGCCGATGTGAGTCAGGGCATCGGGTGCGTCCCCGTCTTCCGACGCGTCTCCGTCTTTTCTCGGTGCACTCCCCCTCGTGCCCAGCGGCGCGCGGGGGGCCGTTGCGCGGGGTGCGCAGGTAGACGGTGCGTTTGACCCAGTGGCGCTTCGCCCTGCCTCCGTCGTCGGCTGGCGCTGGAGCTGTTCAGCATCGGTGCGGTCGGTTTTGTCGGAGTGGCCGCGCCTGCTCGACTGCGCACCCGCGGAGGCGTCGAGACTTCGCCACCGCCCCAGACGAGCGGGAACTCCGCCAAACCTGGCGCAGGGCCTGCCAAGGCCTTCCTGGTAGAACGCGTGGTCGTGCTTGATTGCCCTGAGTCGCCGCACATGCACGTGGAGGGCGATGGCGGGGCGACTGGCTGCTCCGCGCGCTGGGCGCGCGCGCGGGGCCGCGCAGGCAGCCTGGAAGCATGGAAATATGCCGCGTATTTGCCTTGATCGCGCGGCGAAAATATGTCGCGGAGCTCCGCGTGAAAATCGCGTGCCGCGAGGTTTGCTGGGCCGAATATTTCGTCAACGGCCGCAAAGAGCCCCCAAGAGGCCTGAAAGAGACCCCACAACGGCCCCTGAGACCCTTCGAACCTGCCCCGAAGAGGCCTGCGAGAATCCTCACCACAAGGAGTGCAGTCCTGGAGGCGCAGTAGTTTATAGAGGGGTCGGCGGATGTGGCGAAAGCCTATCGAATCTCGTCAACGTCGCCAGCGGCGTCAGCCTTGTGCATCCGAACCCGAGTGCGGCAAACGTGCTCGATGCGGCCCCCCCAAGGATTGCCGCTTGCTCCTATCAGTCGTCGGGTAAACAAGCGGGCGGGCCACGACCGCCTTCAAACCCCGCGCCGGATGCTCGGTGGCATCGAGGTCGAGGGAGACCAGGAGGCCCAGGCCTTGCTCGGTGGGGGGGTCGCGCAGGAGGACAAACTTGTTAACCAGTCGTCGCCCCTTTGATTGGCGAAAGCGCAGTCGATGAGCGCGGTGTCCCAGCGCCCGCAGATCCACGGTCCCAACCAAGGACTTGGCCATAGGTGCATGCCTCCTCGTCTGGGTAGCCCGTCGCGGCGAGGGCGCGCGCGAAGAATGCCTGGCCATGTTAGATGGCATTGGGCGTCCATACATATGAAGTGCGGCATGTCGCCCACCCCGTTGGCTGCCTCCCGGACCTGGCGTGATAGGTCCGCGCCATCGGTAAAGCCACTTCTCTTGTCCTTCCCCCTCCTCCTGGTGGTGGTGGCCGGCGAAGGCTTCCGTCCAATGCGCAGGCGCATTTAGGGCGGTGACAAGTGGGCCGTCTTTACAAGTGCCCACTGACGACTCTTGCGCAGCGATGTAGACCTCACCATGATTAGCGGCCGTGGAGCGATCTCTGTCTTCGGCGCCACCACCGCGCCCATTGCGCTGAATCTAATCGCCCGCGGGGCAAAAGCCCCGAACGGGTCGCCATGCTTCTTTCTCTGGCGAGCGCATAAGTGCGGATGCGGTCGGCAAGGGGGCGGGTCTCAGAGAGAGAAAGGATGCTGACCTCGCCGTGGTCCCACTTTATGGCGAGCGCATCCCTGTTGGCACCCAGGCTGGTGACATCGGCGCTAACGAGATGGCCGCTCTCGGGGCCGTATCCGCCAATGGAGCCGGGGTCGCAACTGGCTTTTCGGTGTTGCCACACTGCATAGGCCTGTTGGAGGTGGCCTCTGGCTCCCATTACGGGGCTGGTCACTGGGGGGGCCCTAACCTTGCGCCAGGAGAGGTCAATGCCAGTTCCCGCCGTAACGACAAGCACACCTTGCGGCAACGGGAGGGGAGGACGAGGGAGGGACGACGCGGCGGCGGCAAGCGCGAGGGCGGCAGCGGTGAACTGCGCGACGGCGCGGCCATCGCCACCGTCGCTGGCACGGCGAGCCGAAAAAGCGGCCGCTCATGTAGCTGCGCTCAGGCGCAGCAACTTCTGCGCTTAGCGAGACGTCGGCGGCCTGCTGGGCCGCCTCAGCCTCGCCGCTGCCGGCGATGGACTTGATGTCGTTGAAAAGGGCGGGGCGGCCGTCCGTGCCAGCGTCGAAATCCACGCCCGCGCCATCGGCGCTGACACGTTGAGGGCCCCGATCCCGGTGGATCGTGAGCTGGCCTAATGGCTCGCCGGTGCCCTGGCTGCCCAGCCCTCTGCTCGGTTGCTGGAGCCCCGGGGGGCCGCGGACCTGGCTGGGCGGGCCGCGCGGGACGCGAGCTGACGCGGTGGCCCCTCTGGCTTCGGGGGCCGGCGCAGCGGCTGCCCCCGCGGCCGCCGGGCCCGCCGCGGCCGGGTGGCCCGCGGGCGCGCGGAATATTTTTGCGACCGAGAACTGGGCTCGAACTGCAGCCGCGGAGCTGGTGCTCGGGCCGCTGGCCGCTCGGGCGGCGAGACCTGCGCTGCCGGCTTGGGCTGCAAAGTTCGTCGCGTCACTTGGGTGGACAGTGGGTCGCGTTCGGGCGCATTTCCGCCGCTGCCTCCATCCCCGCGGGGGTCGACCCCGCCTCGCTGACCTCGAAGCGCGGGAGGCCGCGCGATGGCGCCCCTGGCTGGGCGCGCGGTGATTGGAGCTCGCGCCGCGGCGTTTCGCCGTGGAGCCCCTTGGCCCCATGGCGTTTCACCTGCTCGGCGGTCGCGCTCAGGGCAGAGAAGGTCGAGCTGCGCCCTGTCTCTGGTGCCGATCGTAGCTGGGTTGGCCCTCACGCTGGCTGGCGCCGCTTTGAGATGCGCGCCCTGGTGGCTCATCCCCTGGGCCGCGCCTTCGGAGGCCACGCTAGGCGCCGCTGGGCCAAGCAGGTTCACCGCCTTCGGCGATCGCGACGGCGAGCCCGAGGAGGACGCCCTCCTTCGTGACTCGTGACCGCTCGGCTCCGGTGGCATGTGCCTGCGCGGCGCCTGCTCGCGGTCGACTCGGCCACTTTTTTCTATGGCTCTTCGAAACAGGTAGACCACTTGAGAAGATCGTTGCTGCGCCGCTCCTTCCATCGAGTTGGCCGCGCTCCTCGCCGTGCTGGCCCAGCCCGGCGGCGTGTGGCTAGGTTGCGCAGGCGTGAGCTGCGCTCGCTATTCGGCCGCGTCATCCTCATCTGGTGACGGGCGGGCTGGTTGCGACAGCGCAAGCGTGGCTGGGCCTGGCTGGAGAGCCCTGTCCTGGCCCCGTGCGGCTCGCGTGGGTCGGCTTCTTGGTGCTCTAGGTCCAGGATGCAGGCGCAGCGGAGCTGGGCCGCGTGGGCCCATCTTGCCTGCAGTAGACTGCTAAAGGCAATGCAATCGGGCGTCGGGCTTCCCTGGCCACCAGGCCGCAGTCGACAAATGCCGAAGCCGTCGTTCCTGACAAGACGTCGGAAACGAGAGACTGCGGGAATAGAGCTTTGCCCCGCCAGATGAGTCCGGCAATCTTCCGTATAGCTGCGCATGTGTGAGCCCGTGCAGCTCAAAACTCCATGGCGCGTCGCGCGTGGGCGGCCTTTCTCTGCTCCACGGCGAAGCTCGCGAGGATGTGCTTCCAGGGCTGCCACGCGGACGTTTTCACCAGCGCAGCGTCGGTCAGGATGTCATCGACGGGGCGCGAGATGACCAATCCGACCGCCATGAAAAGGTGGCCCTCTGGGTCAACGGCTCTTCCCTAAACGCGGCCGCTCTGGTTCTCGCGCCGCTTCCCGCGTGCTCTGCCAGGCCTGGCGGCCCCAGCGCGCTGGCGTTAGGTGACTCCGCCGCCGGGTCGTGGCAACCCTGCTCCGCGCATTCCACCTGGAGTGGTTGGAATTTCGGTAGTAGCGTTAAGTCGGGCCTGTCCCCCTACAAGGGGATTTTGGACGAAGAATTCACAATACCCTAAAAATATACCAAAAATGCTCCAAAATGGTCAAACAATCGTCCCCAGACTATTTTTTACTATTTTTGAATATCCCCCCTTTAGAGGGACAGGCACGACTTAATAGTAGCGGCCCTTTGCTCACGATCCCGTCGTAAGCTCTGGGGCTGGCTCCGCGGTGGGGGAGGCAGCCCCCCGTGGGTTGCTGGGGGCCTGCTGCGTGAACTGAAGCGGAAGAGCACGCCCGGACTCTGGCGAGGGCTCCCTCGTCGTTGCCGCGCGGGCACTTCCATGTTTTGTCTTTCGTCATTCACCGAACCAGACGCAGAATACGGTGGGGGCATTGGATAAGGAAGCATTAGATAGGGAATCCAAAATCTGGAAGCCGTTGGAACTCCAATCGTGGACTGGCCATGGATATCACCGCAACCCTCATCAGATAAGGAACCCTCCAGGGTCTGCAGCCTCATGGGTACATTCCTTAACGAACGCCCCCACCGTATGTTACGCTGGCGCATCTGCTGGCAATGGTAAATGTGCTGGGCGCAGGATGGGCAAGCGTTGAAAGCCTACCCGGAGCCGGTGCAGGCCTATCGTTTGCCCAAGTTGCAAATATGGATGAATGGCCTTTTCTGCGCCACGGCGCGTCAGACCCCCAGCTGGACTCGGTAGATTTGACGGTTCGTGGGGGGCAGATCATCTGGTCTCTAAGACTCTGAGGCGCGGGCTGCTTCTGCCGACGTCGATCCGCACTTCGCGCTTAGTGGTAGGTCGGGCCTGTCCCCCTAAAGGCCGATTTCGGCAGAATTAGCTTCAAACAAAAAATACTCCAATGTTTTTTTTGTATTATAGAAATCGTCCCCAGATTATTGTTTACAATGTTTAGATCTTCCCCTTTGTAGAGGGACAGGCCCAACTTAAGCTTAGTGTCTGCGGGCTCGTCGCTGCGACCTCGCGGCGCACCCACCAGTGCCAGGGCGAGTTCCATGTGACCTTTTATAGCCCTGGGTCGTCACTCCTCCTCCTCCTCCTCCTCCTCCTCCTCCTCCTCCTCCTCCTCCTCCTCCTCCTCCTCCTCCCCCTCGTCGTCCGCGTCGTCACAACTGCTGTCGCGCGACGACCTGATGACCTCGGTGAGTAATTCGATAGCTACTCCGTCGGAAATGGACTTTGGCAAGACTGGCGTGTGGGCCGTGGCTATCCAAGACGCCAGGTTCTTGCGTAGGTTCCCTGGTGGGTCCCCACGCCCTGTCGCCCTTGCGCCCTTCACGGCGGCTCATGGCCCTCTTCTGCTGCCGCGGCGGGCAGAGCTGTTGACGCTGACGTCCCTGGTGGCCGCTAGCTGCCGGTTGGTGGCGCTTGGCACTTGGTGGGTCCACACCTCCTTGGAGGCTAGCTTTGTCAAACTAGCCTGTGCATTGACGGCTAACCCTCGGTAGAGAAGGCCGATGGCTTGGTCGACCGGTTGCCAGCGTGGTTGGCTACCCGTGCCGCTGAGGAGCCGTCTTTGTGTGTCGGCGGCACAAATAGGCCAGGCGGACATGCCCGATTGGGCCATGCAGGGGAGCTGTTCGTCCGAGAGGATGCCTCCTTCGGAAACGGGGACGTGGTTGCGGTTAACCAGCCGCGCTCTGGCCGCTTGCGGGCATCCGAAGTCCATGCCAATGGGCCTGGTCATGGCTTGTCCCTGGCATTGTTACCATCAACGAACTGTTATACATACAAGGCTTCCTGGTCGGCGGCTCGAGCCGTGACAGCGAGCAGGTTCTGACCGCTTCTTTCCCGAACATTTTTGATCCTGCGCGCTCGGGACCAGGCCTCGTCGAGACAGGCTCCGTCCCATCCTACGAGTAGCGGTAGGGCTCTGGGGTGGATGAGCTCCGCTGGATGGCGGCCAGGGGCCAAGGCAGCAGACCCTGGACCGGAGCCCCGTCATCCCATGAGCCTACTGGTGCAGCTAGCGCTTCGCATGTGAGCATAGCGACTGGGCCCCAGCTGCTTCGGGGAGACCTCCTTGCCCTGGCCCGGTGAGGGCGCGCTGCGGTAGTCTGCCGCGTGGGCACGGTGGGCGCCTGCGAATACTCGGCCCGGCGGCTGTGCGCCTGCCGCTGCCCTGCGCGGTCCTGGCCAGAGGGCCCAGGCGTTGTGGCGGACACGTTCTGGGTGCTCGACGCGCGCGGCGGGGAAGGAGACGCCGTGATGGTATGTGTGCTCAGGTGGCTCCGCAAGGTCCCAGGTAGCCCGTGGGAAGATGGCCTAACCTGACGTAGACCTGCTGCGGAGAGAGAGAGAGAGAGAGAGACAAAAAAAACAAGAGAGAGAGAGAGAGAGAGAAATGGAGATGGAGAGGGAGAGAGAAAGAGAGAGAGAGAGAGAGAACGAGAGAGAGAGAGGGACAGAGAGAGAGAGAGAGAGGGAGCGAGGGAGAGAGATGGAGAGGGAGCGAGGGAGAGAGAGAGAGAGAGAGAGGGAGAGGGAGAGGGGGGGAGAGGGGGAGAGGGAGGGAGAGAAGGAGAACACGCTCGAGAACCTGGAGACGAGGGAAGGCGGGGTGAGTCGCACGCCTGCCCCCCCCTTACCAGCCTGGAACAGACCCCTATCCCTAAGCTGGGCATCGCCTCATCAGGATGCCAATCTTAGGGGTTCCCGTAGTTTTTCATGGCGCGTCCTTAAGATTTTCATCGCCTTTTGGCGTGTCAATCTTAGGGATAGGGATCAGTTCGAGGCTGGCGGCCCTCCGCCCCTGCTGCCGCCGCGGCCGGCCGCCGCCCCCTGTGCCCGAGCCCGAGGCGGAGCCCACCACTGCTCGCCGACCCCCTTCGCTGCGGCGGCGAGCCCGAGAGGCTCCAGGCGGTCTTCCAGCCCCAGAGTTAGGTCGGGCATGTCCCCCTACAGGTGGATTCTGGGCGAAAAAAAAACTACTCAAAAAGTACCCCCCGAATGGACAAACATAGTCAAAAAATCGTCCCCAGACTATTGTGGCTATTTCTGAATCTTCCACCTGTAGAGGGACAGGCCCGACTTAACCCCAGAGATCCAACGCATTGAACAAAAACACGACGGACGTTTCTCGTAATTTTCGGCCTTGGGGGGCCCTCGCCGCGCCGCGGGACCGTCAACAAGACGACTCGAGGAAAACCAGTCCACAGGAATGGGTCGAGACATCCAGGGGACCCGTATTGAACAAATCACTACATCGGATCTCTTTGGCCCCCGGATGCCGTCCGGCGGTTGTGCCTCGCCGAGAGCGTTCCTGGGGTGCCCAGACCCTCCCGAACGAACGCCAGAGAGCCGAAGTATGACCCAAAGCACACCAATCATCAAGAGGGCGAGCCTTCTCAGAAGGCCTGGAAGGCATCAGGCCTTCTGAAAAGCGTCCGAAGCCTTCCCCGAGGTCGGGGCGAACTTCTCAGCAGGCGCGAGGGCCTCTGAGGAGCCCCGCGGCCGTCTGAGAAGGCTCGCCGCCCCTCTCTGCCCCACTCCACGCCGTCCCTGCCCTCCCCGCGAGGAACGGCAGGATGGCCATCCAGCTCGTCCACCAGAGGTCCAGCGACGTCAGCTCGAAGCCCATCCTTGGCCCCAGGAGGCTGCAAACAGCGCGTCGGGCTGAAGGCTTCCAACTTCAGCCTGGGATCCTCAAGCCCCACCTTCGGGACCAGCACGTGGCGGAAGCCAGGCCGACCGAGCAACATGGTGCCGGCCATGCGGGCCTCGACACTCCGCAGCGCAACTGAGCAACATTGAGCTCTGCAGCTCGTGCTCGTGATAGGGGGCCACACGCGAACCCTGCCCCTGCCCCCCCCCCCGATTTCTGGGGGGGAGGGTGGGGCTCAATTTCGCTCGGGAGCTCCCGAACGAAGTGAACCCCGCCCTCCCCCTCAGAAATCCTGGGGGGCCATCGCTCGGGCGTCCATTCCCTGTGTTTTTTTCGGTTTCGTGCGTGGTTTTTTCGCCAAATGATCAAGGATGCTCCTCAAGGGGTCCTCGCCGAGCAAAAGCGCACACGTCCGAGCGATGCCAAGGGGTTCGCGTGTGGCCCCCTGTCTGAGCTCCCGGGCCCGAGAGAGATTGAGACACCCGCCCCTTCGACCGCTGGGACCGGGCGAGGCCCCGCCTGGACCGACAGGAGTGAAGGGGCCCCAGGACACACAAATAAATACACACAAGTGAAAGGATTCCCCATATTCCCCCCCCCACTTCCCATATAATTTCCTATATGTTCTGGGGAATCGACGATGAATTTTGTCTGGGTGTTTTGTCCCCTCCCGAAAGAGGGGGGCCCTCGACGGGGGGGGGGGAGCACTGGGAGGGGCTACCCGCACACGCTCCTCCCTGCTCCTGCCCTTGGCCGTGCGCCGAGGCCCGAGCCTCTCTCTCTCACCGGGTGTCCTGCCTCGGGCCGCGGGCCTCCCGGCCTCTCTCGGCGCTGCACGGAGCGCGCGCCGGCGCCAGCGTGCGCCCGTCCACGGAAGCCCTTCGGTACGGCTCGGGCCGAGGGAAGCGGACCCCCTAGACCCCAGGGATCGGCCCGAACTCTCGTCCTCGAACTGCTCTCGCTCTCTCTCTCTCTCTCGCGTTGTCCTCAATGCGCCTGGGCCGCACAGCGGAATCGAAACGAAGACGGGCCACGGGATAGCCAAAGCACAGTTCAGGTCGAGGCCTGCTAGACCCCCGCAGCCTTCAATCAAAGACCATGCATTCGTCCTGAGCCGTGTTCTTGAAGGGGCCCTGGGACACACAAATAAATACACACAAATAACAGGATTCCCCATATCTTCCCATATCTTCTGGGTTTCTGTATTCCCCCCCACCTCCCAGATTTCCCCATATCTTCTGGGGAATCGACGATCACTTGTGCCTGTGCTTTTTCCCCTCCCGAGTTCTGGCGGCCCCGGGACCCGCGGAGGAGCCCTGCAGGCCGGCAGCGATATAACACGTCCGAGGGCCCCCGTGCGTGCAAGAACACCGCCTGCGTCACGGCGAGTGCCCGGAGACCGACTCGGCGCGCCCGCCGTGGGCACGGACAAAACTGGGCACGGTGCCCAGGAGCGCAGGTGCTCACACGCCGGCGGCGGCCGCTGCGGGGTAGGCGACCTCATAAGCACACGTCGCTCATTTTTCAAATCGTGCTCATTTCGAGTTGTGCTCGTTGCTAACTGTTCCTGGCCCCCTGGTGGCCAGGAGGAGGCCCGGGACGGAACAGTTAGAAGTGAAAAGATCTTGGCCCCCAAGAGTATCAAAGAACTTTCGAATACTTAGAAATGAACCATGTGTACACAAGAGCGCATGTTGTCACACACAAGCGGCGGCCGCTGCTGGGTAGGCGACCTTATACGTAAAAACTGGCAGCGTCTGCGGCGACGTCCACAGCGAGTCCTGAGCAGCATGGACAGGAACTGCGGTCCGCCTTTGCACTCCATCTTTCAATGCCAGACGGCAAACAAACAACCGAACACACATCATCTTTCGGAGATCCGCAATGGGCATCCAGGGGCGCCGCCGGAGGTGCCAGAGGGGGCTTCAGCGCCGATCTGAGGAGTCCGCGCCGAGCTCTGAAAGTTGTGCTTATGTGGTTCTCCTTCGACGTGCCCCTGTCGACCGTACCGATGAGACATGAACACCTCAGAATGGACCCCAAGGCTTCTCGGGTTTCCGAACGCGCCGGTTTTCCGAGCTGCGTCCGGGGCCCCCCGAAGGCCAACCACCGTTGTCTCAGATCGCCCTCCCCAGAGAGTCGACTCGTATCGAATCGGATCGTAGGCGCCCGTGCCATCGCTCGGACGTCCATTCCCTGTGTTTTTTGTCGGATGCGTGCGTGGCTTTTTCGCCAAATGATCAAGGATGCTCCTCAAGGGGGCCTCGCCGAGGAAAAAACGCACACGTCCGAGCGATGCCAAGGCCCTCCCCGGAGAGGATCGACTCGCATCGAATTGGATCGTGTGCGCCCGTGGGCTTCCGGGCCACGCGTCCGCAGCGACGGGCGCTCCCGGCACCCGGGGAGCGCTCCCGGCGCGGCGCAGCTGCCCCGAGGGCATGCCGAGGCTCGGGGCCATCGGCGCGGTGCGCCGAGAGACGGCCGAGCACCTCGAAAGCGATCCGCGATCCTCTCACCGAGCCTTCGTACGCGTCGTTCATTTCTGATCGTGCTCGCTTCTGATCGTGCTCGCTCCTGACTGCTCCTGGCCCCCTGGTGGCCAGGAGGAGGCCCAGGATAGAACACTTAGGAATGAGAGGATCTTGCCCCCCAGAAAATATAAAAAAAACTTTCGAAGCATCAGAAATTAACAATGTGTACCCATTCTTGAGCAGGGACCGACCGTTCCGGCATTCCAAGAGCCCTACCACGAAATGTTCTTAGAACCCAGAAGTGTCCTAAGAACAAAAACAATCTTCTCAGAACATCAACCCGATGTGTGACAACAAGACGCTCCCAACCAGACATGTTCTCTGAGAATCTTCCGTGGGAACCACAACAGGTTCATAGAACATTGCTGGGTAGGCACGCCGGGACGCTTCGCCACTGCTTGACGATCCTCTCACCGATCCTTCGTACCCTGGCCCCCCTGGTGGCCAGGAGGAGGCCCAGGATAGAACACTTAGGAATGAGAGGATCTTGCCCCCCAAAAAATCAGAAAACTCTCGAAGCATTAGAAATGAACAACGTGTACCCATTTGAAGGGGCCCAGGGACACACAAATGAATACACACAAATGACAGGATCCCCCGTATTTTCCTATATCTTCTGGGCTTTCGTCCTCCCCCCCCACTTCCCATACTTTCCCATATCTTCCTGGAAATCGACGATGAATTTGTCTGTGTGTTTTTTCCCCTCGTGGCCATTCTTCGACGACGCACGGTCGCGGGCCAGGGCTATAGGCACGCCGGGACGCTTCGCCACTGCTTGACGATCCTCTCACCGATCTTTCGTACCCGTTCTTCGATGACGTCCGGTCGCGGGCCAGGATAGAACAGCTAGGAATGAAAGGATCTTGTCCCCCCAACAAATCAATCTTGTCCCCCCAGATGTGTACACATTCTTCGACGACGGGCGGTCGCGGGCCGGGGCCCGCAGGCGTGGGCGGCGGCCGCGACCGGCGCGCGGCTCGCCCGGGCGGCCGGCGGGCAGGCACCGCTGAGGCCCCGGGCCAGCCCGTCAGCGGCTGGGTCCACGCGAGGCTCAACGACCTGCCACCGTCGGGTGGACCCGTCATCATCATCATCATCATCATCATCATCATCATCATCATCATCATCATCATCATCATCATCATCATCATCATCATCATCATCATCATCATCATCATCATCATCATCATCATCATCATCATCATCATTATCATCCACCTGCCACCGTGAAGGGGAGCTGGGACACGCAAAAAACACAAATGACCAGATGCCCAGAAATAGACACAAATGACCAGATGCCCAAGATTCTCCGATATTTTCTGTGTTTTTTGTCCTCCCCCCCGCCTACCATGTTTTCCATGTTTTTTCTAAGGGATCGACGGTGAATTGTGTCTGTATGTTTTTCCCTCCTGCCACCGTCTGGTGGACCCAGGAGGGGGTCCAGCCAAGAGAGGGTGGTGCAGTAGATCTGGTGCAATAGATCTGGTGGGGTGGCAACAAATTTGAGTGTGCCATGCAGTCTGGGGCGCACATGTGTTGCTCGATCTTCTCGCGCAGTGCAGCTGCTTGCGGCACGACGCGCCACAGTTCTCTGGCGCCCAGCGCACCTGCAATACAATTGCCCCGGGTCTGCTCCACCACCCCCTTCCGGCTGGAGCCCACCTTCGGGACGCTTCCTGCCGCTACGCGCCGGGCCCACACTCGTGTCCAAACTAAAAGAAAACGCCTGAATTCGGGGGCGCTCTCATTTCTTTTGACGTCCAGAACCCTCCAAGCCACCTTTTCACATATACTTCTCTGATTCAAGAACTCCCTCGTGGAGCGGACGCATGCGCAAAGGCAAACGTACCTTCGGGCCACGAGGCCGCTGCCCCCCGAGGCCTCCAGCGTGCTGAACCAAAAAAACACACGGCCGCGGCTGCCGCCGCGGTCGGTGCAGGGTGCCCTCGCCGGGGCCCCTGGGGACCCAGCAGCTCGTCGACGCCCGACGGGCCCCCGGGGAAAGGGCCGGGACTCCCGGGGGCCCCGCGCGGGAGGGACCGGGGCCTCGGACCTCCAGGCCCCATCGAGGATCGACGGTCGAGGCGCTGCGCTGCTCTGGACGCCTCGCCTGCGTGTGTACGCCCCCTCGGAGCGCGATGTCGATCCTCGACGCGCCCGAGTCGGTGTGCGATCTCCTCTCCGTCGGGTCTCGAGAGGGTGCTGCGTCCGCACTCTGTGGGCGGCCCCTGCGCCCGCCTGGTCTGGTCACGAGTCGCTTTCGCCTCGAGGGGGCGTGTTTTTTTTCTACAGGGGGTTCTGTCCACCTCTATAGGCGATCGGGATTCTGAAATGTTACCCATGCCCCTGCTCACGCCTCAACCCTGCCACAGGACCAGAGTGTGGGGGCATGGATGCACTGGGGGCTCGGCCACAAGAAACCTCCGCAAGAAGCCCAACCCTGAAATCCGCGGCTTGTCTAGCAAAGACCCACATTTGTCCATCGAAGACCGTCAAGATCTTATTGGGGGCACATCGAAATCCAAGAAACCCAGGGCACCCTGGCAAAATCCAACTGGTTTCTTGGCGCACGCCCCCA